CAATGGCAAACACTGCCTTCTTATAGTACTCTTTTATCAAATTTTTACAGACTTCTTGATAGTTTTTGTCTAAGAGTTTTTTCTCTACCACTTTTATGTTTTGCAGCAAATCTGGTTAGTTGCATTTTTTCTCACAATTTTCTAGATTAGGTCATTTTGTCATAGAGTTTTTTTGCGCTAGGTTTTTTTCTTTCCCAAATAGATTTAACTTATTTTTGGGATTGCAATTTTTAACTAAAGTTTCTTAGGATGTCCTGAACCATCCCGTTTTGTCTTGGTAGCGATTTAAATGGGACAACAAAAGAACAACTTCTTGTCCCTTCCCGTTCCGAACCGTTATAATAAACCGGGTTCAGTACCGGGACAACCCAATTCCCGTTCCATCCCGAACCGTGCCCACCCCTAGTCTGAATTGATTTGATTTGTTCTGTATAAGTTTGGTCTAGTCTGATTTGATCTGAGCTTATTTGGTCTGGTAAATGTCTGGTCTCTGTGTATTTTATAATTGTTCAAGTTTGGTCTGGTCTGTTTAAGTCTGGTCTGGTTTGGTCTGGAAGTGAAAACATCCTATGAAACCAAAATAGAAAGGGTAATTCCCTACATAGGAATGATAGGAGTAAATACTCTAAATCCAAGTTAAATTACAAAATATGATCATAAGAAGTAATTCTTTATTATTCTGCACTTTTATCATACTTTAAATAGAGTTTTCATAATAATCAAACATAAAAAATAAAAGGGACAATGTTTTTTTACTCCACGGGGTCTGGAGGGAGGGGGCTGGGGGCCTGGAGTAATCAGGGCTGAAACGTACTCTATTGAGTTTAAACACTTATGTGCCTAGCGAGTTTCGAACTCCAGACCTCCCACTATGCATGGTAACCTCATAACCAACTGAGCTGGAATGCTTGGTTAAAAGGGACAATGTTTATTACTATGGTATTATGTTTTTTATAATCAAACATAAAAAATAAAAATGTAAAAATAAATAAGAAATGATAAAAGCCTCAGTCATCACCTTAGCTACCTTCGTTGGGAAAATATGTTAACCTGCAAAAAATGATCTTGTTAGCAGTTTGAACAGCAAAATTTGATGGTTCAAAGAGTAAAAACGTCGTTTTCGTGACATTTTTTAGAGTAAGATGAAATTTTTACATAGGATTTATTCATTTATTTATTTATGTTTTTATTTTTTATTTTTATTTTTATCGTAAAACAAGTGGCTTTATATTAAAATCAAGAACGCATACAAGACAATCTTCAGACAGATTTTACGGATCCAATCGTGAACCTTAGGAGTAAACATAGAATCAGTCACCTCGTACAAAGTAACCTGACTCGCTAAACCTGAAACGGGTAAATTTAAGCCTAAAACGAACTGATCTGAAACCCTGCCGCTCCAACCCCATATTGATGGGGTGGCGGGAAATCTCAACCCCTACAAAGAGGGGAGGCGGCCACTAGGTTTTTAGAGAGAAGCCATAGCTCTATTTATGTTTTTATTATAAATACAAAATATTTTTATTCTTTTTATGTTTGATTATAAATAAAAATATGATTTTGTTATGAATAAAATAAGTTTTACTTTTACTAGGAAATATAGGAAGATAGAATAGGGAGTGGTAACATAAATACTTCTGTTTTGCAAAAAGTTGTTAGTATAATTTTATTGATTCATTTTGGACTAATTGTATTCCTACTTAGGGCTAATGTTTTCATTTTGGATTATTTTTTGTCCCAAAATAGATCAAATTAGATCAAGTTTAAACAGATTAAATTAGATTTATATTAATCATCCCAAAACAGGCAAGGCTTAGACAATAGTGAAATATACATTTTTCCCAAATAGACCAAACCATACTTAAATAGACCATCAAACGTGATTGTGAAGATAAAATTCCCTAAATAGAAGTAAAAAAGTTTTGAAATTCCAAAATAGGACTGTCATGTTTTTATACTCTAAATATGAGTAATTTCTGTCAAGTTTGCACTGTCGGGCTTTTAGCATGGCAATTTGTTCCAAGTTTATACTGGACAATTTGTAGGATTATGAAATGATGTCTATCCAATTGAAATCATGATTGTTTGTTTAAATGATCCATTTTCTCTTACATCATAGGTTTATTGCTCCAAAGCCTCGGCCCCAGTGATGATGCAAATTCTTTGCATTAGCCACTTGTGCTTCAAGTCTTAAAGAAGTGATCAAATTAAATATCATGTGTTATAGTTAACCATGCACATAACCCCTGTAGCAATAGTATGAAAATCATGTATAGAAGAGTTATGATTAAACATGCAACTAAATTTGGAGAGATCACTAAATTATACTACGTACATACTAATCAATTAGACAGTTAAATTTTCTCTTTCTGAAAGTAAACATATGAATAGTTATGACACATGAGTGTTTGACGCAATTGTTAAATCACAAACGATTAATGTGTGTTAGGTCTCCTAGATTTTGATGGTTAATGTAATAGTTTTGATGATGTCACCTTTTTTTATTATTCTTGTATTAGACTAGTCTCTTGTTTATGTTCTACTTTGTTTAAATTGTAATGTGCTCCATATTAGTGATAAAGTACTCATAAAAAGCAAAGAGTATTAAAAGAGAAGTTAAACGTACCATAAAACAAAAAGAAAAGGATAAAAAAGAAAAGGTACAAAAAGAGTTAACTGGTATACATTGTTAGGAATGACCTTGCTGGAAAACACCAAAAATCAGCAAAGGATATGCTTGTTTCTAGATTTCTAGGCTTCTACCTAAACAACCGCTAATGAAAGGTTTATACTATATAAATCCTTTATTCTAATTTACATGGGTATTTCTTTTTTGAGATATTACCCAAAATAGGACTAAAAGAGTTAGAAAATTCCAAAATAAGACTGACATATTTTTATTTCCAAAATAGGACTAATTACTGACATGTTTTGGCAATACCAGACTTCAAACATGACAGTATTTTCGAAACTTGACAGTAATTACTCCTATTTTGGAAATAAAAACATGTCAGTCCTATTTTGGAATTTTCAAACTCTTTTAGTCCTATTTCGGGAACTTTCCCTTCTTTTTTTTGGATGAAAACATGAACTAAGAACTACGAACAATATACATGAAATATGAACTATGAATCACAAGGGGAAATACCTACTTTTATGGAGCAGATTATGGCATACTGCATTGGAAAGAAATTTGTATGGAGCTGGAATATCACTAGAAGCAACAAGAAATCCATTTTGTAGAAAAAAATATGCAATACGGAGTATATTTCTATACATTTAAGGAAAAAGAGATTTAACATAGATTTATGGCAATAAATATTTGGTTTTACAAGAAAACAAAAAACTTCAGTAAGAGCAATAAACAATCAAAAAATTAACCAAAATTGGGATTCATGTGATGCATCCCTAGAGGCTACAAAAAAATCTCTTAGCGCATATCTTCACTGCAGCAATTGTACCTCATAAGAATCCATATTCATACACCTCACTGTTTTCTAATACATTTCAACCGTGTTTGTTTTACATAGAAAACACACACAAGAAAATAAAACATGATTAATGTATTTCAATATTTTTTACATATGCCTCGCGCCCTAGCCTTCTTGTATAAAATACAAACAATGAGTTTGAGAAAATATCTAAATTAACTGAATTGAGTTTAAACTTAATCTATGCCTTATTTTCTACAAAACATCTTTCCTTCCAATTTGCTCATTACTTCCCGCACTTCAAACAAACCCTTCGGGATCATAATTTAAAGATTTTCTCATCCTTAGACCATTTGTAGTGGTCAAGAGTCCAAATAGTTAAATTTGGACTCCGTCAATTTGAAAACAGTTCTTAGACTCCGTCAATACTGTTTTTCCCTGCATCCGTGCACCGTCAATAAAATACACTCTACATATTTTTTACATATGAATTTAGTAAAATATTAATTAAATTATTATAAGTAATGTTTTACTTTTAATTTTTTTCCCTGAATAATTATGAAATAAAAAATACACATTTTGATGTAAAAATAAATAATTTTCATAATTTTTTTTAACATTTTTCTGTTAAAAAAATGAATTTGTTTAAGTGAAGTTTGATTATAGAATATTCAATTATTTGTGAAGGTTTCATGAATTAAGAATTCTTGTTTCATTTTTTTAGCTCAATAAACTGTAACAGTTAAAGTTTCAAAATAAAATCATTTATATATCACATATGGATGTCATATGAAAGATCATAAAAATTTATGAATTTTGATATATTTTTTGAAAAAATTAAATGACAAATAAAAAAGTTATATAGGTTTAGAAAAAATTGGGATATAATGATGCAAGGGTGACGCCAGCATGACATCATCCTCACCAAAAGAAAACATGTGGCCGTGCCTTTTTTCTTTATTTTTTTTTTCCACTCCTCTAAACTCACCCTCTATATTTAACACCTTCCATCCTCTTTCCCACTTTTAATACCCCATATAAACCACCACTACACCGTCTACACACAATTAGGAGTCCAAAAGTTCCACATTTAACATTTTGGACTCCTAATACCTCACCACTACAAATGGTCTTAGGCTGGGATTTGCTGAACTGAGACTACATCCATCTTACACGAGATTAAACTGCATATAAATTATTTTATTTGTAGTCTCGTGATTTTCTTACCCGATAGTATATTTTTCAAAATTATAATCACGAGACTACAAATAAAATAATTTTGATTTGATTTGTGATTTGAAAAATATGAATTCAGATCAATAAAAATAAAAATATTACTCCTTATAATATTTAATTCGAACATTATTTGAATCATACTATGTATATTTGCATGAATATGTTCATACAATATACAGGGTATAATACTTTGGTTAAATAACCATAATAAAATGCGAGAATATTAATAAAAAATATTGTACCCTGTAAATTCTCGCATTTTATTAATATTCTCGCATTTTATTAATACAAGAAACGCAAAACTGTACATTGGATTAATATTTTTATTAATCCCACCCAAGAAACCATTACAAAAGAAAGTATTAGATCTCAACCATAACCTGTTTTATAATTCAACCCTCACATATTGTATTCTTCACAAACCTTATTATTGATGAATGTGCCTGAGTTAATGTGTGTGATTGTGTGATACAAAGTAGCATGTGTATGGATTATTACAGCAAGCAAGTCAAGCCTAGCTAAGTTCTAAATCCTAATACAGAAACTACACTCTGATTTACTCCATTTATCACCAAAACAAAGGAAAAAATCATTTACACTGCCTCTTGGTGAAATACCGAGGGGAAAGCAGTTTAGTGAGCAGAGTTTTCAATCTCCTAGCACCAGTCCCATGCTGCAGAACCCCGTACATCTCACTCTGCAATGCCGAACACTTCTTCTGGTCCTTATTGTAACACCACCCACCCAATGAGAAATGCCCATCCCCCCTCCTCTTGAGGAGTTCACGGTCTATCTTGTCAAGGACTGCTGGGTCGTTCCTCTTGAACTTCCTCGCAAATGGCCGGTTGCTTAGGACCATTCTTCTGTAGTCTTTCAGGCCAAGAGACTTGGGGTGTTGTTTGGGAGGGACATCCCAGGTGATGTAATGGAGGTCATGATCAACCGTTGTGTTCTTGTACCCCTCATCGGAATTGCACACGAGTGTCTGGAAGTAACCCTCCGGAGAGGAGACAAAGTTGGTGTAGTAGAGGAGAAGCCTTCTCGGCAGGTTGTCCCAGCCTACTACACAGTACTCTGCAAAGGATCTTGACAATACCATCCAAGCTGAACCTGCAAAGGATTTACCCAAAGGGAGTTTCAATCTGCAAGTGACTAGAACAGAGAAATTGGAACCTCTAGGGTCTGTTTGGAACTCAGAAAATGCTAGGAAAAGAACATAGGGAGGGAAAACAATAGAGCCAAATTGGAAAGAAAGCACATGCGGAAGGTAAAAAGGATAAGGTAAAAGTGTAAAACTCAATAAATTTAGTTTGACATTTGGTGATGCTCATACAACATTTATGTAAGGCCTAGAAAGTAAGTATATGGGAAAAAAATACAGTATCACATTTCATTTTACTTTTCTTTTCCATAGGAAAACCATACAAGAAACGCAAAACTTTCTTTTGCATTTTTTCTTTCCCTGGCAGAAAGACACAAACCAGTTCTGGTTATTCTTTTTTCTTGGGTGGGAGGGGGTACATCAGAAAGGATTTCTCCTCATTCTTAAAATTAGATTCAGATGGTACTTCAGGACACTACATGATTATGAACATATCTTGGAATATAAAGGTGGGCTGGATAAAACTTTAAGGTTGGATTTATAATGCAGGATGAATTGAAAACAAGACAATTCATCATTTATTTATTTAAGTAAATCAACCTAATGCATTCATAGGTAATATTTTCATAAAGCGGATAACTACTACATCCAGTTTTCTTATTAGTTTTCACGGATAGAGATGGTTGACCAATTCGTATAATGATATTGGATCATATATTCCATATAGTAATCAAATGTAAACGAAACAATGTTTTGATGGATGTAGAAAGTTTATTAAAAAAGCACTTCTCAGCAGCTTTTGGCTTTTAAAAAGCACTTATTTTCCCAAACACTACAACTTTTATTTTTCTCGGCTTCCGCGTCAAAAGTGCTTTTACTATTACACAAAAAACACTTATTTTACCAAACACTACCCACTTTTACTTTTCAAAATCACTTTTTTCTCAAAAACTATCAACTTTTATTTAATCACTTCTCTCCATTTCATTTAAAAAAGTACTTTTTTAAAAGCAGAAACTGTTGCAAACTGACGCTAAAGGTGGTCAACTGGATAAATAAAAAACGACTGGAGCACACATAATCCATACTCCGTATAATGTAAGGATTGGGTGTGATCCACTATTATCAATAGTTTAATGTATGGATTAGGTTAGGACGTTAGGTAGATTTACTTTTGGATGGACTTTTTCACACGCCTACTTACTAGATAAAGGAAAATATATTTAGGTGAGCTTTCAAATAGGATATAAATGTAAGATTTTGAACTTCAAAAACTATCATGAAAGTATCTCGATATTTCCAAAATTTTCATTGAAATTTGAAAAAACTCCTTGAAATTTCTGTATTTTGAGGTCCAGTTATTGATACTGGGAATGACAAATTGTATCTAAAGTCTCTTGAAAAATTCACAAAGTGTTTGCTAAAAATGTTTTTAATCTCATTATCTTTTCTAGAAAAGGCTAGCAGAATATAGTTTTTCTTAAGAGACATCACGATATCGTTTTTGACGTTTTAAAATTGGAATATCCGCGGATTTTCCCATAAAAAGAGTGCCTATATTTCCAAAAACTACTACGTAATCGTATCTCCGTCTCTTAAAATTTTGACATCTTTTCGAAGTTCATGTTGATAAAGTTTAAAACATGATTTTGATTAGTATAATATTTGAAAATTTATAAATTTTATACTTGAGTTAATTATCAAAATAGGACTAAAAGTCATTCACTTTGCACAAATAGGACCAAAAAATAAACTATGTTTCCATAGGACTAATTATGTGTGTCTTGGACAAATATACCCTTATACCTATTGGAATGTTTTAATTCATAATAAAATAATAAAAAATAATAATAATTCGTAAAATATACCAAAAAATTAATAAAAATATTTTGAATAATAATAAATTTAAAAAAAAAATTTAAAAAAATAAAAATTAAAAAAAATTAAAAAAAATTAAAAAAAAATTAAAAAAAAAATCAAAAAAATATTTTTTTTGTCACCGCCGCCTCTGCCACCCCAGCACCACCACCTCTAGTCATTTGGGGAAAAAATGCCAAATTTATTATGAATTCCATATTTTTGGCATAATTCAGAATGATTTAAGATGGAAGAAAAAAAATGTTGGCATTCTCAAAGAGAAATATGCCATATTTTTGGCATTTTCCGAAAAAAATGGAAGTTTGTAGGAAATATGACATTTTTTTTAACGGTCGGAGGTGGTGGTGCAGGGAGGCGGTACCACCGCCTCCTGTCACCGGGGTAAAAAAATGCCAAAAAAATTATGAATGCCATATTTTTGGCAAAAGTCAAAAGGATTCAAGTTGGCATAATGAAAATGTTGGCATTCTCATAGAGAAATATGCCATTTTTGTGGAATTTAAAAAAAAAGTGGCATTTTTTACACCGATTGGAGGTGGTGGTTCAGGGAGGTAGTACAGGCGGTGGGAAAGGTATCCATATTTTTTTTAATTTTTTTAATGGAGTTTTACTATTTTTTATTAATTTTCAAAAAAAATAAAAAAAACTAAAATTTTTTTTTCTTATTTTTTATTTTATAAAAATTTTATTAATTTTTTTTACTATTTTTCTACGAATTATTGAAATTTTTTCGAATTTATTATGAATTAAACATCTAATTATGACTTTTAGCTATCTTTTACTAATATTTAAAGGAGGGGTAAGAACGGAAGGAAGAAATGAGTATGTTTCCAATAGGACCACTATGGTCCTATTTTGAAATAAAAAACATAGCAAGTCCTATTTTGAGTTTTTGCCATAGTTTTAGTAATTTCTATTTATACTTTTATGAAAGTACTATTAACAATAAATATTTTTATATCATTTTTATATTATAAATAACTCCTTACCCAATAGTGTGAAAACAATAGGTAGGTAGGATAGGAAAAAGAACCTGTATAGAGCTTGAAAGCTGTCGGGAGAGTTCTCTGCTTGATTGCCCACCAGATTTCTGATTTATTATTACTATGCAAACTTGGGTCTAATATAATCGGTTTGCCCCTCCTATTACTGATATGATCAATAATAAGATAATTAAGCAATACAAAACATGGTTAGGAAGCCAATACATTAACCTTGAAATCAATCAATTCAACAAGCCAAAATATGTGTGAAATCTTACAATTTCCAACCAAGGTGACTAGTATGCTGTATGAAGTTCAGATCTCTGGGCAAACTTGAGAAGGAATGGATCAGATCTGGGGAAATTACAAAGAGAAAATGAAATTGAGTAAAGTGTAAATTATCATTGGAGTGGATTTTCGGAAGATGAGGCACTCACCATACCATCTTGCGTTACGAGTGGATAATCAGAGGCGCTGAGATTGATAAACCAGTCCCAATTTGCAGTCCTCAGAAGGAGAGAAATGGCGTGGAGAGTAGCGGCAAGCATTGTCGGGCCTCTGTAGGTCACCAAGCTGGGCTTCCCTACCACCCACACATTCCCGATTTGGCCGAACACGGCGTTTCCGGCCACAAACCTCGCCAGCTCTAGGTGCTCCGACCGGGGCGCATCCGCATCCAGGTGGATCAGGTAGTAGTTCCCGGGGTGGTAGAGGGCGTACAGTAGGCGGCGCAGCCTCGGGACGTCACCCCTGGAAGCGGAGATCAAGTAGGCGAAAGAGACGGGATACTGCCTCCGCTGCTGCTGGTCACCGGAACTAGGACGGATGAAGAAGGAGGTTGTTGGGCGGAGAATGGCGATGCTGGGGTGGGAGAGTTGGGTGAGGATGAAGAGGAGGAACAAGAGAAGAGAAGCAGTGATGAGGCAGATCTTGAAGAGTCTCGCGCTGGCCATTGTTGCCAGTGAGGTGAGCATTGGCTTAGGAAGAAGTAGGCGGCTTGTGGAGTTGAAATGGGCGGTTACGGTGGTTGGGGGCGGAAAGCGAAAGAGTAGTGGGGGCTGGTAGCAGTGACAGTACTGAAATTAGATGAATGAATGAATAAAAATGAACGAGAGATTCTAGCGAGCGGGTAAATTCCTTTCGTGGTATGGAAGACTTCACCCATTTGTTGTAAGTTTTATTTTCATTTTATTTTACTTGTCGGTTGGGACTTGGGGTAGATATAAAAACTATTTAAGGAAATAAAATACGGAGTAATACTTCTGTCCCTCGTCTCATACTTTTTCCGTTTCATAATTCTTGCAACATTGTGATTTTTACACTATTCACAGATCTTACTTTGACCATGATTTTCTACTAAAATACATAATCAAATTATTACGTATAAAATGTTATTGAACTCTTATCAATGTGAATTTCCAAAATATCAACTTTTTATAATGTTTACTAATACATAATTAAATATAATTACAGTCAAAGTAGTACATAAAGATTCTTATTTCTGTTTTAATACTCCGTAAACAATTAACACTCTGAAAGTATACTTAATAATCAAATACTCCGTATAAAACATAATTCTCAAATTATTTTATTTAATTATTACCTTATTATTCAAGTCATTTTGCAATCGGAACCTTTGAACGCGATAGATATAGTACTATATACTACGTATTTTCTTCAGAAATAAAATTGAACTAGTGACATTGTGAGACCATACTCAAATATCAATTATAACTTTTACTTTTTCAACCATTTTATTAATAATTGCGTCACTTTAAAACATGACACAAAGAGAAACACATTAAAACAAGACATAAAGACAAACTATGCTTTTAGTAATTTAAATAATATTTTACGTAAATGTAAAAATATGTAGAAAGAATTTGAAGAAACTTGTGAAACAAAAAAAAATGTAGAAAGAATTTTATGGACGAACGTGTTAACAAATCATACTACGCATTTGCAAAAGACTTCACTATGGTTATATTGAGGGTTGATATTCAAAATAATGAGTATGTTAATTGAGTTTTATATCAATATTGTAATGAATTGAGATTCAAAAAGATGAGTTTCACTGAAGTTAATTAATTGAGTCATATTAACTGACTTAATAAGATTATTATCCTGGTTTATTGAGGAAAAATAAAAGGCTAAAGGGTCAAATAGGTACATGAACTAACTTAAAGTGTTCAATTAGCCCCTTAGTTAAGAGGCTAAAGGGTCATATAAGCTATCGAACTAACTTAAAAAGTGCAAATCACTTCTTATATAGGAGGCTCCATCCGGCTGTCTCCATTTGGGGCGGTTCCCAGTGGAATTTTTGATGAATTTTTTTTAGCATTTTCTTCATTAAGTCCAGTTTATTCATATCAAATGATTTTCTGAAATGTACAGCGTTGTTATCTTCAGAAATTCATTTGGCTACCTTCCCGATTGAATTTTTAGCTGAAATTTGGTATGGATAAACAAGACTTAATGAAAAAAATGTTCAAAAAAATTCATCAAAAAATTCTACCGGGAACCGTCCCAAATGGCGACGTCCGGACAGAGCCTCCTATATAAGGGGTGATTTGCACTTTTTAAGTTAGTTCGAGAATCTATTTGACGCTTTATCCTAGATACTAATATGACACCTTTAATGTAGGTACTTATATTTAAATGAAAAATATGGATATATTGAGAGGCCGTTTGACAACACTGTTTTTCGGCTTATCAGACTTATCAGCCAACTTTTTCATCAAACACGTAACTTTTGCTTTCGCGCTCTGAATTGTGTAATGAGCAGAAAAAGTAAGGTTGGAGTTACTTTTCTGGCTGTATTGGCTGAAGTTACTGTAGATGACCATTTTAGCTTTTCTTACATATAGTTTTTTCTTTATTTTATAAATAAAACATATTTTAAAAATAATTTTTTCTTAAATCAGCAGAATCAGCCAATGCAACCACTTCAGCCAAAACTTCATAAATTCCAACAGAATCAGCCAAAACAACCGATTTTCATGCTACCAAACGGGCTCTGAGTGACGTTTGGTAGAAGATCCTCAGTATACTTCTCACAAGTTAAAAACGAAGGAAGATGTAAGAATTGGAAATCCTAACAATTCACACCTATATTCTCTATCATATGATCATGGACGACAAGAATAGGAGATCTTGGAGGGAAAGAAATTTGGGATCAGGAGAGGAGAGGGGAAAGAGCGGGTTGAGAAGTTTGCATCGTGGAAGAGAAGAATAGGATCTCTCGGAGCCTCGGAGGGAAAGAAATTTTGGATCGAGAGCGGGGTTGAGGAAAAACTTCTGATTTAAAGAAGGAGAGAGAGGGAGAGAAGACAAATTTGAAAATGAAAAAGGAAAGAAATTTCAAACCGAAAGATAATGCAGAAAAGAAATTAACATTAATATTTATTTGTTAGTTTGATCTGGTCTGATATCATTGTATTTTAATAACTCGTTTGGTCTGGTCTGGTTTAGGCCAAATTACGCTCCAAGTAAAAAAAAACAGTCAGATATGCGGTTCTACTTTTAAATTTTTATCACATTTTCCTCCCCTTTGGGACAATTTGGATTTTGGAGTTCATAATGAGTCTAGTCAAATACTCATCGAATTCCTTGGCGGCTATCGCAAACCGGCGACTTTCAGAGACGGTCACCAGAAGTCGACAACAACAATAGAGGTCAATAAATTTGTTTTACATTGATTGAGTTGGCAACGGAGACAATCAACTAATTGAGTTTTCAAATTTTTAAATAGAGCTTAAATTTTACTCCGTATTAAGAAGGGCATTTCCATCATATACTTTACTCTTTTTTTTATATCATCAACCAGACCTTTATTCATATCAAAAGATTCAGGATCATTACATCAAGCAAAAGGAAAATAAAACTGACACCAACTGAAACTTCAACAACTACGATTGTAACCCTATGGTGAGACTTTGAGACGGTCACCCCTGAGAGAGCAACACGAATCGCGAACCATGTAGTGGGCTTGACACAGCCAAACCTATTCTCATAGATCCAACCATACCCAATGACATAAAGAGAGGCAAAAAACTCAAACAAACTGTCAAAACCATCAACAAAAGTGGACGCAAGAAAACAAATAACAAACATATAAAAACTACATGGGCCGCTCCGGCTGGGAAGCCAGGGGCGGCATCGCGATCATTTGCTGAGGTTTTGGCTGCCAATAAGGAAATTCCAATCAAGGTTCCTTTTCGACGAAAGGGTATGCAGGCGGTCGAGTTTTCTGTAGGTGAGGAATCAAACCTGGCGGAAAAATACAAATATGCTCTTGTAGGGACTTTCATTAGAGGACGTCCTGCTATGACTCTTTTGCGTACAGAATTTGAAAAAATTGGTTTTCAAAGTTCTTTGTCGTTGGGTTTGCTCGATCAACGTCATGTCCTCCTCAAATTTTCCTCGGAGGAAGATTTCCAGAGGTGTTGGCTGCGGCAGACTTGGAATATAAAAGGATTCAAGATGCGAGTGACGAGATGGACACCGGATTTCCATCCCGATGTAGAATCACCTATTGTGCCGGTTTGGATTAACTTTGATGGACTGCCAATTCATTTTCATGACAAGAGAGCGTTGTTTTCAATTGCTGGGATGGTTGGAAAACCCCTCAAAGTAGATGCAGCAACGGCTAATATGACTAGGCCTTCTACGGCAAAGGTGTGTGTTGAGATTGATCTGCTTCAGGAAATTCCTTCCAAGGTTCTTATTGTAGTTGGCAATAAAGAAATTATTCAATCAGTTATTCAATCAGTTACGTATGAAGACCTGCTGTCATACTGTGTCAAATGCAATAGAGTGGGTCATACTAAAACTGATTGTGGTTCAACTAGACTTCGTATTGAAGCCAGTAAGCCAGATCGTGAGAAACCGAGGGAGAATCCAAAAGTTCCTGTGAAGAAGACACAACAAGATCATGAAGGATGGATTCAAGTGTCGCATAAAAGCAAGGGAAAGGATAAAATCGTGGAGCCCTTGTAAAAGGTTTCGCAGGCCCCTGGTGAGTGGATTCAAGTATCAGCAACTAGTAAGGGAAAGGACAAAGTTGTTGCTTCAGTGATGGATAAACCTGAGTCGTCCAATAGGAGGGAACCCCAGGATGTTCTGGAGGAGGGGGAGATTCCTTCTAATGAACTACGAACTGAAACTTTGATGATTGAGGATTCCCCAATTGATGGATTAGGTGAGGAAGGAACTGAAGTTCAGGTTAGTTTGGAGAATCAAAATGGAGTGCCAAATGAGGGAGCATTGGATGACAATGCTGGTCTGCATAATCCTGAGAATAGCCTTCACGAAGTGGGTGGAAATACAGATTTTAAGGAAGGGCTAGAATGCTCGGCTCTATCTGAAGGTGGTCAGCTGGAACTGCATACAATGGAAGATGTTTTTTATGGTGTGGAAAGGGCAGAAGTGGTGGATGAACAAACTGGTTTTGCCTCAGATGGGGAGGGTGGAACACTTGAAAATTTTTCGAAGGCGGCTTGGAGGGAAGTTTGCGGTGAGCTACGGCATAAAGTTGAGCTTATTTCTAGTGGTAAAGCTGAAGCTATGGGGATGGTCTCTAGAAAGAAAACCAAGGTGGGGCATCCTCCTCTTTCCGTCACGACCCGGCAGGCGGCTAAGAGGATCAACAAGGATCTATCCCTTGGTGTTTCCTTATGAAGTGTATCACCTGGAATGTGCGTGGCCTCGCTTCGGCATGCCCGAGGTTGCGTGAAATTGTTAGGCACCATTCTATCAATTTGGTAGCAATTATTGAACCAATTGTAGATCCTTCTAAAGGTATTTATTTTCTGAATAAATTGGGATTTACCAACTTGTTTATGGCAGCATCAAATAAAATTTGGGTTATGTGGAATGATGATTTCTTTGAGGTTTTGTCCGTGAGGGATGAGGAGCAGTTTCTTTTTATTAAGCTTCGATTTATCCCGATGGACTTTACGTTTGTATTTTCTCCTGTCTACGGGAAACATACTAGGACTGAGAGGAGTTTGCTATGGGAAGGGCTGTATGAGTTTGCTTCGCAGGAAAAGATTGCTTGGGTTTTGGGAGGTGATTTTAATATTGTGTCGTGTTTAGCAGAGTACAAAGGTCCCTCACAGCCTCTTTTGGGGGATATGATGGATTTTAGAGATTGTATTGACAATTGTAGTTTGTTGCAATTGCCTACAATTGGCTCTACTTTTACTTGGTCGGGTGTTCGTTCTAATGGCAGATTATGGGAAAGATTGGATCGTTATCTGGTTAATCAGGAGTTTAGTGAGAAATTTGATGCTGTCAAAACTCAACATTTATGCAAGACTCCTTCTGATCA